CGTTAAAGTACCATGTGACCGACTCTACGCCAATCAGACGTCGCTAATATCCTTGTTAAATGCGCGATTAACTTAATCTCAGTTAAAATATTGTATAAACTGGCCCTAAATTGTGTTATTCTTTATTTTTGTACTGAGTTACTAAGAAAAATTAAATGTTAAAATTATCCAAACAAATTTAACACATTTTTTGGAAAATAAAGGAACTTTAGTTATTCCTTTTATTAAAATAAAACAAATTTTTAAGGTAGTCAGAGAAATAGAAAAAAAAACACTGTCTGTCGCATTTATAAACCGGTTTTAGCAAAGCCGAACAGTCGGCCGACTAGTCGGTTTTTACTGGCCGAACAATCGGCTAGTCGGTTAGTCGGCCAGACCTACAGTCGGTACATCTCTAGTAGAGGTATAGGTACTCGTAGATCGATGCTATCAAATTTGAATCCTAGAAAAGTGCAGTTTTTTTTACGGTAGGAGTCTATTTTTTTGTTTTTGCGTAATAAATTCACGATTTCGTTTAAATTCAGGAGATGTTGAACTTAAGAATAAAAAGTCAGAAGGAAGTATTATGATTGCATGATTGTCTGTACTTATTTTTTATTTTTAATTAACAAAGAAGTTGATTCGAAACTTGCAGATGATTAAAATAATCTTTTTGATTATGAATTCGTTGGAATGTACATCACAGACCTCGTTCAAGTTGAAGAGATTTGAGAGTATCTTCCGTCAATTCACAGTTTTAATGAAAAAAAAGGTCTATTTTACCAAGAACAAATATGACAAAATTCCTAACAATTACGAAAAAGTGTTAAGAGTGCTGAACAAGTTTATTTGTTAACAGGAAAGATCGATCTATTTTGGTAAGATCACGATTTACAGTTTTAAAATGACGGACCACAAATCATGGTCCAATGTATCAGTTTTTACAGTACCGAACAAGACGTGATCATTTCGGGATCATTTGTTAATCCTAAATTAAATATAAATATAGGAAGCTCTTGTACTTATTAGTTGAAGTTATTTGTTTTCTAGGAGTTTATAAAATTGGTGGGTATGTAGTGGTAAAGTAAAGTAAGTAAAGTAAAGTTTATTATTAGTTCTCTAAGACATATATAAATGTATAGAACAAGTCAATTACAGGTTAAACATTAAAATCACAAATAGGTACATACATATACATATACATACAGATATGCAGACATAAGTTCAGATTACAATGTTGGGTCATTAAGAAATTCTTCTAACGAGTAGTACTCTTTTTCAATCAGTAACTTTTTTATATAATGTTTTTGTTTATCTTTATTTATATTCTTTAAGTGATCATATAATTTCTTATAACAGCATATAGATAGATAATGTGGACTATTTTTATAGAGTGCTGTCTTATGCAGGGGAATTTCTAATTTGCTTCCATTTCTTGTTTTATAAGTGTGGTTGTTATTTAATGGCTTATATGCATCAATATTATGTATAGTATGGATTATGAGGCTGTATATGTAGATGCCTGGAACCGTCATTATATTCAATCTTTTAAAGAATGTTCTGCAACTGCTATAGGATCTAAGGTCTGCGATAGTTCGAATAGCTCTCTTTTGTAATCTGAATAGTCTAATCGTTTCTGAGCATGCACCCCAGGCTATAATACCATAACTTAATAGTGAATGTATTCGTGAAAAATAATAAAAGTTTTAAAATGTTATTATCCACTGTTCTTTTTAATTGTTTTAAGGTAAAACATTGTATCAAAAGTTTTTTACTCAAGTACTCTATATGATTTGCCCATTTAAGCCTATTATCCACTATAATGCCTAAGAATCGTGTTGCTTCTAGTTGTTGTATTGACCCAGCCTTTGACTTAATTAGTAAGCTTAAGTTTTGTTCACTACCTTCATTGGTGAATTGAATAAATGCTGTTTTGCTATAATTTATAAACAATTCATTACTTTGGAAGAAATCATCTAACTGTTTCAACCTTTCAGTTGCAATTGTACAAATATTTTCCCTTTTACGAGCAGTTACAAGAGACGAAGTGTCATCTGCATACATTATTGTGTTTTCATATGTTAGGTCAAGTACATATATTATATATAATAGTGGCCCCAACACAGATCCTTGGGGAACTCCTCTATTTGATGTTAATAAATTGGATTTAACACCATCCATTTCAACATAATATTGCCTATTTTGTAAATAGCTTTCAAACCAGTTCCATGGGACACCTCTTATACTATTATGCCATAGTTTTGCTAGTAGCTTGTTATGATTGACTAAGTCAAACGCTTTGCTGAGGTCAATAAATAGCCCAACACAACTCTTTTGCATATCCATATTTTTATATACTGCATTTAGAAAATCGGCCATGGCAGATGATGTCGATTTTCCAGCCATGAATCCACGTTGATTGGGGTTCATGCGTATGCTTCTAATTAAAAAATGTATTAATTTTTTTGCAACTATTTTCTCTAAAATTTTAGAAAATGTATTTAAGTTGGAGATCGGTACCTATAATTTTTTGCTAATGTCGGATCATCTTTTTTAAATACCGGCAGAACTTTAGCTATTTTTTGTGAGCTTGGAAATTTACCTTTTTTTAGAGAATTATTAATAATTATTGTAAGATTTTAATTCTGCTGCACAGTCTTTGATAAGTATAGCCTATAGTCCATCAGGCCCACAAGAATTGCTATTTTTTAATTCATATATTGTGTTTAACACTTCATTTTCTGTAACGGGGGTAAAGTACAGTGTACAATTATTACTTTTACTAGAAGGTAAATTTATCCCATTATTAACTTTGTCTTTATTTAGGTATTCATTTATAACATTATTAAAGTATGCGTTAAAGTGATTTACACATTCCTGAGTATCATAAATTAAGCTATTTCCCGAGTTTAAACTGATTTTTTCATTTTTCTTTTTTGATTTTTTACCTATAATTTGCCATGCAGTTAAGCCTTTATTTTTCGATATTTGCATTATAGCTATTATTACAACTAGGGAAATATGAATACTATATTTCCCGAGGTTGGCTAGTTACATCCCGAGGGTGAAACCCGAGGGATGTATAGACAACCAAGGGACATAATTCATATTTCCCGTGTTGTAATCAATAGTTTTTTTCTGATTGATACAATATTGTTGCAAAAAATATTGGATTCTAAATTTTTGAATTAATCGGATTGGTAACGTTGCTAAGGGCCGTGTTTGTAAATATCATGGTTGGCTGCTTTGATTGTCGCGTCCTGTCATAAATAAAATTGATGAAATGTCGAACTACGTGCTATCACAAGCGGCGAAAGCCCGTGAATGTTTGGTTCCCGTGAAATCTAAAGCTGCTTACAGTAAAGTGTATGAAGACTTTCAAGAGTGGAGAAGAGAAAATTCGGTGAATGGTGTCGACGAAAATATTTTGCTTGCATTTTTTGAAGATTTGGTATTTTGCTATGGTTTTTGTTATTTTTGACGTATGACTAATTTATTCTATCCGTAGTCGCACAAATATTCACCAAATACGTTGTGGCCAAAATTATCGATGCTAAGGTCAATGTTACATTTAAAGGAAAAAACTGATGTTAAACTGTTCGATGAAGTAGAAGCATTTTGTGAAGAATAAAAATAAAGGATACGTTCCTAAAAAATCAGAGGTGTTGTCTCGACAACAGCTCAAAAAATTCTTGCGAGAAGCTCCTAATGACATTTTTTTGATGTATAAGGTAAAAATTTCATTGTGATTCTCCTCTATTGAATAGATTGTTACATCCGTAATTTTGAAGGTCGCTTTAATTATGGAAATCTTTGGCGCTTGCAGAACGAACGAATTGGTGAATATGCTCTCTTCCGATATCGAAGATCGTGGGTCGGTGATCGTGATCAACGTTTCAAAGACGAAGAATGATGTAAATAGGAAATTTACAATTATTGATGAAGAGGAACTGAGTGCTGCTTGTTTGGTGAGAGAATATTCGGCGTTGCGTCCGCAAGGTGTTCTTAGGTTTTTCGTGGCTTATCGAAATAAGAAGTGTACTCTTCAGCCGGTCGGCAAAAATACCTTCGGAAAGATTCCGAGTAAGGTTGCTGAATGGTTGGGTTTGGATAATCCGAAGGCGTATACAGGCCATTGTGGAAGACGAACATCCGCGACGTTGGTGGCCGACGCGGGAGCCTCAATGACCACACTAATGAGACACGGTGGTTGGAGAAGTTCGTCGGTTGCGGAAGGGTATCTAGCTGACAGTATGTTGCAGAAAAATAAGGTAGCAAAGATGATAGCTGGTGTAGATGGAGAGCCCTCTGTAGCATCTGTTACGGTTCCTGGCGTGTCCATGATGGCATCGCATGTAGCACAGTCAACACAGTCTTTAGTGACGATTTCCGGAAAATCGTTTAAGACTGCAACTGAACTGAATGCTCTTAGTAAGAAAACGACCAACTCATTGACGAATTGCGAACAAGATTCTTCGTCGTTTGTATCTGGTTGTAACCGTTTTAGCGGAAATTTTGAAAATTGCAATTTTTATTTTGGTTCTGAAAAGTAGCGTTACAAATGCAACAACTTTGTTAGTTCATAAATTATTGTTATAATTTTTGTTGCTATAATTAAAAAATAAAAAAAAAATATAGTGAAATTTGACGATTCATATTTCCCTTGGGACAATATGAGCATTTCATATTTCCCTTGGGAAATATTAGTGTGTTATGACATATTGTAACTAAGGCAATATTATTCAATATTGTATCAATCAGAAAAAAAGTAGTTATTATGTCTTTTTTTTGCTGCCTGTATAACTCGTTTGTAATAATAATAATAATAACTTTATTGATTCCAACAGGTATGACACCCATTTACAGGATCAAATAAACATCAACTAAATAAGTAGTAACAGTACTAAACTAACAAAATATAAATTGTACAACTATTAATAGTACAGAAATAAACATGCTTCATTGCGACATAAATATACATCTGAACAATAAGATAGGCAGATGCAGGAGGAGAAAAAAAGTTATTCTAAGTTTATAACACATGAAACAATATGTCGAAGTGAATCAAGGTTCATATCGCATAAGTGTGAAATTTTATTAAATAAATTGGACATAATTATAATAGGCGATCGCATAGACATATTGGTTCTGCTAAAGTTAGCGTAAAATAACATCTGTTGTCTGGAGTTTACGCGAGGTACTAGTAAGTTGAATTGGCTGAGAAGCTCAGCACAATCGATTTTGTTATGAAAAAGATTATATACAAATCTAACAGCAATTATATTACGACGAGTTTCTAATGATAGTAAATTATAACGCGACAGTAATAGGGATTGCTCACAACCTCTCGGAGGGTAAATACCATCTTCTAAATATACCATAAATTTGAGGAAACGTCTCTGAACCGATTCTAAACTAAGACAGTGTACATCGTAAATAGGATACCAGATTAAGGAAGCATATTCCAATCTCGACCTTACAAGCGAACAAAACAATAATCTGATAGTTTCAACATTGGAAAAGCGACGACAGTTTCTATAGATAAAACCATATATTTTAGAAGCACTGTTAACGGTTGTATTAATGTGGTCAATGATAGCAAGTTTGCTGTCAAAAACTACACCTAGGTCTTTGACTGTTTGTGAACGCTCCATTAGAATACCATTTACATTGTACGAGTAGGTGATAATGTCTTGTTTTCTTGAGTAAGAGACTACTCTACATTTGGAAATATTGAGTTGGAGACGATTGCTGTCGCACCAGCGGGTCACCGAGTTTAAATTTTGTTGGAGAAGAAAACAATCACTGACTGAATTGATGATTGAAAAGAGTTTGAAATCGTCGGCGAACAATGACTTTTTACAAGATACAGATTCAGCAAGATCGTTGATAAACAATAGAAAAAGCAATGGACCCAGATTGGAACCCTGTGGCACGCCCGAAGTGGGTACAAATGCAACAGATGTAAAATTACGATATCTAACTCTGAATTCTCTATCAAATAAATAGGATTGAATCAATTTTAATAGTGGTTCGGAGAAACCGAAACGGCTGAGCTTTTCCAGTAAAACGTAATGATCAATCCTGTCAAAAGCTTTTTGGAAATCCGTGTATATTACATCGACCTGACATTTATCATCCAGGGAATCCGACAAATACTGGGAGAAAACAGCAAGATTCGAGACCGTTGAACAGTTAGCCATAAAGCCATGCTGATATGAAGAGATAAAAGGTTTGACTGAATTGTAGATAGTTTCGTAAATAATTGACTCGAAAGTTTTCGCAAAATTGCACAGCAAAGAGATCGGTCTGTAGTTTGTAACGTCATTGGTTTTGCCTTTTTTAAGTACAGGACATATAAAGGCTTTTTTCCATATATCTGGAAAAGTTGAATACTGCAACATCCGATTGAAAATTTTAGCTAAGGGAGCAGCAAGAACAGAAGCACAATCACGTAGGAGAAAACTGGGAACACCATCAACACCTGTAGTTTGCGAATTTTTGGATCGCTGCAAGTGTTTTCGAACATCATCAACGGAGATCTCATTGACTGAAACGGTATTATTGAAGACGCATTGTTGAAGTGATAGGGAAGCTGGGTCGATGGGAGTAGAATGTATAAAAACACTATGAAAGTAATTGCCAAAGGCGTTAACAATGTCTGCAGGATTTGAGATTTCTTCGTTGTTATAACACATGACTCCTGGGATACGCGTAGAACCTTTTTTGTTTTGGATGTAAGCCCAAAATTTGCTCGGATCATTGATGATTGAATTTTCTATAGATGAAAGGTAGTGATTGTGTGCCTCTTTAATAAGTTTCTTGCATTTTGCACGCTGAGTATTAAATAGGTGATAGGACTGGTCACTTCTGAGTTTTTTATGCTGTTTGTATGTAGACCATTTAAGGCGTAAGTTGCTTATAATTTCGGATGAGAACCAAGGTGGGTAGTACCGGCGATCACGATAAATAGATTTCGGAACAGATAAATCAAAAAGACTGTACAATTTATCATAAAATTTTTTACATGCTAAATTGACATTGTTAATATTTTCCAAAAAGGACCAATCAGCGTTTGTAATTAGTTCATAGAGAAGAGGAAAGTTCGCTTTCTTGAAATTGTAGTTCGAAACACTATTATTCATACGGAAAGAGCTGGGAGGTTTGCCAGACTGGAAATTTAGATTCAGCTCAAGCGCTGGGTGATGGAAATCTTCGTCGACCAACGGACAGATAGCATTTTCGACAGAACATTCAAGATTAGAATATATCAAGTCCAAGAGCCTTCCATATCTATTTACAACAGTATTAAATTGCTGTAGGTTGTTGAAATTCTGAAATATATTCAAAGTAGTACTAAATCCACTATTACTCCTAGTTATGAATTCAGGAACATTGAAATCACCAAGAAAGATAACTTGATTATTGCAACGCAGTGGTGCTAGCTGATTGAGTGCATCAAAGAAGAGTTCAAAAGAAGGGAGAGAAGTAGCAGGCGGAATGTATAGCACAAATACAAATAATTTATTGTTACAATTATCGCTAATTTTCACACATAATAAATCTATAGAGGGAAAAGCAATATTTATATCAGTTGTAATGCTCGATTATGGAAAAATTTCCGCTTTTTGTTAGATGAAAAAGCTCTTTCAGATGTTGAGACGACTTTTTTATCCCTTGAGTGATCCTTGGTTATTTTATTGTTAGTATATTTTACTTTTTGTGGAAATGTTGCCTCAAAGTTTATATTTATAACTCCCATGAATTCATTAAACTGCAAATCGACATCATAGTAATCCCCGTTTGTCAATGAATCATACCAATTCTCTTGAGTTAGTAAATTTTTAAATTTATTTATGTTATTTATATTGTTAGTTTGTCTATATTTTACCTTGTTTTTATTTTCAGAATTATTTGTAGTTTCCTGATATATTTCTACTACCTGTGCTGCATGGTCAGACCAACGAGTGAAAATTACCTCAGATTTATCTACCATCATTTCTATCGGGATGCATATATTATCCAGACAGCTAACGCCTCTTGTTGGTTTGTCTATTACGGGTTTTAGATTGTATGAACCTAGCATATCAATTAATTCATTACGTTGTTCTGAAATTTTTATAAAATCAATATTAAAATCACCACTTAATATAATATTAGATATATCCCTGAAATTTACTCAAAATATCTAAAAGTGATATTAATTTATCTATAAATATGTCCACATTACCATGACTGCTGCTACGGTACAAAGCTGCAACTATGAATTTTCCGAAGTTAGGATGATTAAATCTTACAGCGGAGCATTCGAAGTGAAGTTCCACACATAGGTCTTTTATTTTTTCAATAGGTTCACCACTTATTCCAAGTTTTCCAAATATGGCCGTTCCTCCCTGTTTGAACTGGCTTCTACTGAAGTAGTTAAGAATTCTGTAATTTTCTAAATTCACTCCTAAGATGGTATTAATTTGGTACCAATGTTCAGATAAACAAACTATGTCACTTTCACATTCTGCAAGCAATATTTCGAGTTCAGTTACTTTATTTGTTAAACTTTGACAGTTCTGGTGTAGTAATGCGAGTTTTTTGCTATTATTAGATATCACTAGATGTCGTTGTTGTTTGCAATGTTCACTTATCTGTTCTGGATTTTTCACGAAAAAAACTATATCTTCTAACCATCACATTTTCGGGCCAGTTTTCTTCGTTCTGCAGTTCTTCTAGAAGAGAGTAGTCAGCCCCTATTTTAAACGATATGCTATTTGCATTTTCCCTCGTTGGTAGTTGTTCAACTATAAATTGTTTATTGGGAAATGTCGTCTGCAAGTAATTTTGTACTTGTTCTGGTGTTGTATTTAGCTGAACCTTCCCCAGATGTAACCAAGCACGTTTGGTTACCTCCGCGAAAGAGTTATTATTGGAGTACGTCCCTTTGTTAGTAATACTTTTTTTACCGTTTACCACATATTTCATCTGATTTTGTTCGTCCGAGTCATTGACCGTTGTTTTCAGCCTGTTTACGGATTTTGTGCTGGGTCTTGTTTTGCTCGTATCTTCTTTTTGCTTGGAGATATATTCATCCGTTTCTTTTTTCTTCCTTTTATCAATGACTTTATGTTGATTGTTTGTTATCTTTGCAGAGGGCACTGACGTCGTTGTCAAATTAACTTGTACATGCAGAAGACGGATAATTGTTTCTTGGTCCGTAGTTCTTTTTTCGAGATGGCTGTTTAGTTTGTTTAAGGTAGAATTTTCACGTTTTACAAACTCACATGTCTTTATTAGATTCTCATGGTCCTCTATAGCGTCGTCCATGGCATCACTGTATTCAATACTGTCATCGTTTGACCTTGTTCTTGATATCACTAGGGCACTTTCACTCAGCGTTTTTGCGAAATCTATAAGCACTTTGTTGTTATTAACATATGCCGGTAACTCTTGATGTATTATTAGGCTAATAATGTCAGATTTCTTTAATTTATTGAGCTCTGTGCACAGTGTGTCTGCATCCGTCGCCATGTTGTACCCGTGGTGTACCCGTGGTGGTAATCATTGGTGCTAATGTGTAATTAAAGTCTATAAACAATCTCAAGGAAATGTTAATTTTACATGACATAAGAATCGTAATTCAAATAGAGATAAGTTGAATAGATTGCATACTGAGAGGAACACTGCGAAGCAAGAACGGCATAATTGGTGCGGGTTATAATAAGTAAAGGAGAAAAATCATCGTTTTGAGATATGCACGAGTGTTTACTCTACTGGAATGACCGGTACGCTGCGATGTGCATTTAGGAATCCTATGCAGAGAATCAGAATATTCAGATTTTAATCACGACTCTTTAATAAATATGGACATTAAAAATTATCGTAACATTTTTAATGTTGTACTAAATATATTAATTTAAATTCATAATAATGTTAAGCAATTTAACCCTGAAAAATGCTGGAGTAGGTGAACAAAAACTGTTGACCACGGCACACCTATATCTACCAACAACGAAAATTTTATAACTGAAATTCAAAGAATTTGGAAATATTATTATTAACTGGATATTTTAGGGGTTGCCAAAAAATTCACATTTTCGTATATTCTGGATATTTAACTTTTTTTTGGATTTATTGCATATTTTAATGTTAATTGCATTTTTATGGATATCCTTTAACGATGAATGAATGCATGAATGAACGAATGATAAGCAGCAAAAGTTGATTTTTCTTTTAATTGAAACCGAAAGTGTTTTTATTCGAACGTTTTTCAATCTCTGTTTACCGGGTGGATCAGTGACTTCATGTCGACGGTGGTACATGGGGGTTTTGCCCCATTCGATTTTTAATTTGTTTTTTCTATATTTCCACACTACTGCGTTACGTAATGTCGTGGTTAAAATTATTGCATATATTTCGAAATCACCCTGTAGTTATCTCTTACGTAAATAATTATTTGTTCTCATCACAAAAGAAACTATAAGAAAAGAAACTCAACCAGTGTAATTCAAACATCAATACCAGCACTTTAGCAGAAAATATTCAAGTTCAATTTATGCCAGGCCATGCTTGCCTCGAATATTCCGTTCAATAAGTTAGATAATCCCACATTTAATTCATTTTTGGAAAAATACTGTAAAAGAACCATTCCAGACGAAAGCACTGTTGCTAAAATTAAGACACGTTTGCAAAATAACTTTATTTACTTTGTTGTTGACGAAACAACAGATGTATGTGGCAGATATATAGCAAATTTATTAGTTGGTACTTTACAACTACGAATTAACTGGTGTAACATTAACAAAATTAGAAAAACAAAAAGTATCCCTAAGTGAATCCGTACAGCTAATAGAAAATTTAAAAAATTGTCAATAAAGTACAAGGTCCTATTGCTCAAACAGTCTCAAAAAACTAGAAAAATCTAGAAAAACATATTATAATAAATGTAAATAATAAATAAATATTTTTCGAGAGAGTAACTAGTTAGTCAATAAAATAACTAGTTGATAGAGTAATAGTATACACCGACATACTTAGTTTTAATTTGTAAATATGTAGTTTAACTCCAAATAATATGTATTCTCTAATTTATAAAGGTTGTAAGAAATGATCGAAATAAAATATTGATGTGTAAAAAACTAATTTTTCTTGCATATTTTGCATACATATATTTCTCCCATATTTTAGAAATTTTTTGCATATTATGCCAAATTTCTCTGCATATATATGCGCATATTTATATGTTTTTTCTGCATATAATTCCGAGCTTTATTTATTACGATGACAGTAAAGTTAAAAATTATTTTCACATCCACAACCATGTCACAAAAAATATCAAAAAGTTCGTTACATCAAGGTTCGATAACATTAAGTAGTAAGATTTCAGACTCCTAGAAACCGATTTACGGAATCTCGATTAAATAATAATTGATTGAGATTAAATTTTAATGCGGTGTTAAAGTACTACGGGACCGACTCTTCAATCAGATATTGCTAAGCACCTCATTAAATTCGTAATTAACTTAATCTCAGAGAAAATATTCTGTAAACTGGCCCCTAATTTTTATTTTTTTTTTTTAAATATCTTGATAAAAATTTTCATTAGAATACTCTCTAGTTTCAGTTTTGAAGTTCATTTCGATTGAAACACGTTCGTCTGTTTACTAATCACAATTAATTTTAGTTAGTTTCTTCATCGAGTACACGGAAACATGTGCATCAACGCTTATTCTACGTCATTCATCTTTTTATTATAGTTTTAATTGAGTACAATGTCCGTTGCTCACAGTTTGGAACAAAAAACGTATATTCATTGCAATAAATGTTTCGAAATCCTGAAATCCAAAAGTTACAACAGGTGTGAATAATACAGCGAAAAACCATATTTACCTTGCATTTGCTTTAACATTTTGTTGATAAATGCCTTATACTGGCCACGGCCTGAAAAATTTCTACCTCAACTTTTCAGCTTCGCATCCAAAAGTAAAAACGCAATTTTATGCTTTTGGTGTTCCAATTCCAAAACCCCCACTTGGGGAGCAAGAGCCTCTTAACTAATACCTCGAAACAGTCCTGTTTGTAATAGAAGTGTGCCAGCCAAATACAATAAAGGGCCGCTACCTAAGTTTAGGGTGGCGTCATAAATTTGCGTTTGATAATTGGTCGACAAGGGTGCCGAAGCAGTCAAAGTCGTAAAACCACTATTTCGTAGATGATCTATACGTTATGAATTGATTTTTCAAAATTATTTTGTTGTTGTCAGAAACTTTGCACAGAAATATGAAGAATATCGTGCTACTCTCTCTGTAATACTTTGTATTAAAGACAAAAATGTCGTTAGTGTAAAGGATGGCGTTAACGTAAGTCATTAGCAGTTTGCATATCGATCAATGCGTATAAACCAAGTAATTAGCATGAATAACGAGAAATTTTATGCTTCGATTTGTGTTTATGTGCACAGCACAACTTGCAGAGAGAAATTCAACATTGTTTTAAGGAAGGTTAACTACTGATATTAAGTTTCATGCTGTTGAGCGTTACGAATTAACTAATTTCTAGTAAGACACGGAGCATTTCGAGGAACTAACAATGCACATCATCTACCAGGCCTATTTTCTGTATAATGAGTGAACTAAGACTCACTTGATCAAGTCTTTGTTTACCGCATTGTGTTCCCAGACGGTTCTGTTCTCTACGTTGGTCGATATTGAACAATATTTCTTCAACTCCAAATGCTTAGTATCGGTCGGATTTCCTACACGGATGATGTAGAAACTGTTGTACTACAACAAAACACATTATCCGTAACGTTCAACCGCTTTAATGATTAGTAAAATTTCTAATGAATCGTTAAATCGCAGAGAACAAAGACTAAAAACTTTGCAGAAATTCTGGGCGATTTTATTAAACCACTGACAAGCTAATTAATTTTAAAGTGCGTAATTAATACGGAAATTAAACGTAACGACTGAGCAGGTGTCTAATATTCTGCAATTTGTTTTTCGTGTATTTAAGGGAAACTTAAGTAGAATCGAGTAGACTCTATTATGACTCACGTCTTCGCTTACGGCTTTCGCTCATTTTATTAATTATTAGCGTCATTAAAAGAGTCTCTGAAAGACAAATGTTTGCAGCTTCTACCAAGTCTTAATTAATTAAGAATATAGTTCGTTTATTAAATAACTAACGGCTTCTTTCTGGTTCCGATTCATTGTAGCCGTAATTAATTATATTAGAATTAATGACAAAGAAGCCAGTTTCAAAACTTCTCCTTTATGTAAGAATAAAATGTAATTTAAAGTAAAAGGGTAGAGACATTTATCCTGAAAGAATATTCATTACATACCTACTATCAAGAACTGATAGAGATTGTAAAATTATTTTCAGGAAGCACGTCAAAAATATTTGAAAACTGTTATCAAGGTCGGTGAATGTACACTGCAGCGGTATGCAGATAATACCTGTACCACGGTGTATAATAAGTTAGGTGTTACGACGAAGCGTATTCACCGTGCATCGAGTTGACGCCGGTTTAGTCACGATGAGCGGTCGAGAGAGACAGACAGCGGCGGCCTGTAACCTCTCACTTAGATCTGTTTAGCAGCGTTTGGCGGGCTTTTTCCCTCTGTAGGTGTGACAGATTTTGCTAGGTTTTCTCTGCGATTTCTTACTTGTTTTTTGATTTATCAATAAAAATGGGTAGAAAATGTGTTGTGCCTAATTGTTCTAGCGGATACAATGGTAATCCCGAAAAAGTGTCGGTGTTTCGGGTACCTAAAGACAGATTACTGGAATGGCACTTTTATTGCAGTAGTGAACTGCTGCTTTTGAACAACACTTTGCACCAAAAAATACTGGTCGTCGCTATAGTAATAGTAGGCATTTTATGTTGAATTTTATTTTTACTTAAAACAATTACTCCCTTTTTATCGGTTATGTGTTATGTTTTAACATTCAAGAAACAGAATTTATGTTTATTTTCAGAGGGTTTTTGAATGCGATATGTATTTTTTTTTTTTATTCCACATAAACTATACTTTTTGCAGAGATTTTTCAGCACAATTCGACAAGCAGGTTGTGCCAATGGACATCCCTTATCTATAACTCTTTGCAGCTATACCGAATGTTATCGGTTTATAAATTATTAAAACCTCGGAAATTTGGTAATTGCACACAGATGCAGGAAAATAGTAATGCAAATCATTCGTTATCATTTAATGACTCCAAAAGTATTTTTGAAACAAATACCAGAATGCGGGAAAAATCATCTTGAGAAAATAAGAAGGAAAATTGAATATATTTTAGATACAGATTCACCGATTAACGAAATAGACGAACAACTATTTGAAGATGCACTACAACTAAAATTGTTGACAACATCATTTATTACTTAGCTGGATTTGTCGCAAAAAAAATTGTACAATACTTCAAAATGTAACATTTGCCGTGAACAGTTATATAACAAAGAAGATCCATGTTCTAGTAGGTACATCTGAATTTACTAGTACAAAATCCAGGGGGTGGTTAAACCA